ATTCTCACTCTCAAAAGTCTCCTTGGAGAAGAAGTCTCTTTATATTTCACATCTATACAGAACACATCTCCAGGATGGTAAATCCTGGAGATGGGTTTTGTAGGTCCAGTGCTGTTTCATTATGATTCCCATTAATCACCAGTGGATTATTCCGCACCAGTCCTCCCATTGTTGGAGAGATGTGAACACCCATCGGCCTGCAGCGCAAGTGTGCTTAAAACCATTAGCTGTGTCCAATGTCCTTATACAAGAGTAATAACGCTGAAACAGGAAGTGTGTTGTATCACTGCAAACAATAACAAGAAGATGGCAGAGTTATCAAAAGATCCTCTGGTCATATGAACTCTCTTCATCAGATAGTGACGATGAAAATAACCCAAACTATGAACAAAACATGTGCTTCAATGGTCATACTTTTGAATCAGAGAGAGATACAGCTGTTTAGTTACAGCTGTTCAACATACCAAATATTTTTACTAATTAATTTTATGCTACAACAGATCCATTATAAATCTGCTGCTTATTGTGTGTATGTGTAGGGACCATAATATGAGGCCTTGAAAAACATACATTCATCCCTCCCTTAACTTCTCCTCAAGATGTATCAGTGGGGTCAGAATTATATTTTTAACCACCTCTCTGCCAAATGAATTACGTCCTGATCACCCCAAAATCATTATAAACAAATGAGTTTATGTTTAGGGTATTTAAATGAAACCTTGACACTCTGATTCAATATTTGCATGATAACGAAAAGCAAAGAAAAAGTATCAGATGTGCAATGTACATGTCATCATAAAAAACATCTGTTTTGGAAAAAAACTCTGGTGGTAGGCTCTTGTGACAGAACTTGTGAGAGATGGACATGGAGTTTGTGACAAGGTGACATTAGAAGCTTCTGTCTAGAGCTGATTGTTAAATTATGTTTGTTGTTTTATAAGTGATGCTGTCAGCAAAGAGTGTACGCTGACTTCCTGTGTTGTTGTTTCGACTTGAAACAGCGTTTACATAACTTTTTCCAGTCAGGAACTAATTTTTCCAATTATTCCAACACCACATGAACACACAGTTTGTTCTAGTTTTTCCTAAATATGAAAACAACCAAGAAGAGATCGTTTGAGACAGAAACACAGGGAATCAATGTAGCACCCTCATTCTTCCACATCCCCATGTATCCTTCTGTCAGATTCCAATCAATCAAATGTATTAAAAGACATTATTTCACCAGGAGTGTGAAGTATAGCCTCTAAATGCCTTAAAAAAAATACAAAATATTCCTGCTTAAACTTCACCAAATAAGACCTTGGCTGTCATTGAATTCGACGAGTGTGAGAAATGAACATTGACCTCATGTTTTATCAGAATGACTGGGCCGCTGTGCACTCTCACACTTGACTTGAGATCTGCAACAACACGTCCACTGTTTTTGCTGTGACCCAGTGTGATAATTCAAACATTATTATAAGGCCAAAGCTTCAGGCTGAGGTCAGGAGTCACCTCTGGCCAGTGGGCCAGCAGAGGCCGGCTGGTACAGCTGGACGAGCTGCAGGCTGCGGAGGCTGATAAAGTGGACTGTTGGAGTTCACAGTTCTGCAGACCCTTCACCCTGAGTGATAGCACGCTCACTCCCACTGATTGGGATGACATAACCAGGGGACTGATAAACGGAGAGAGGGGGAGTGAAATTAAAATAGAAAGAGAAGTTAATAAAGCTGAAGTCATACAAGACTGATTTCCAAGTATGTGTATCAGTGTGGTTGTGATTTTTTTTCTGGTCTAATCTGAACATTAACACGAAGATTGGCAAGAGCAAACACCTGGACCAAGACCCAATAGTCCCCTTAAATCAAGCTGCACCAAATTTCACACACTCATAGATATCAGTCCCCTCAATATGACAGATTATCAGCCTCCTGATCCAGATGAGTACCAAACTTTTCTGAGATCTTCCCTGACCCATACCACATCCTTCCTCCAAGTTCTGTGGTAATCCTTTCGATAGGTTTGTCCAAATCTTGCTCACAAACAAACACAACCACATTGCCCAAATGCACCTTCTGTCTTTCTTTTCTACTTTGTGAGCAGCTCCGACCTGACGACTGGAGCTTATTGTTCTGTCCACCGTCTGTCTGTAACAGTCAGACTGGCTGATCTAAAGGCCATGAGCTCATACAAGAAAGAAAAGTCTCTTTGACTGATACTGATCTGGTCCTACAGCTGCTATGGCTCAACTCATAACCTCATACCTCTGCAGGCTGCTTTCATTAACTCCACCTATATACTCCATCTACGCCGTACATAATACACTACTGTGTCTGTCTGATGCTGTCACTGTGTCTGGATGTACTCATATGTGCTTATACATGTGTGGAAGTATGTGCGTGCAGTTTTCATATTTTGTCATTCTTGAGCATGTACAGCATTTTCTTATATTGAGTTTATTTCTGCACGTGAATATTAATCTAAAGGTGTGTGTGTTTGTAGTTATAGCTAACACACACACACACACACACACACACACACACTGTATTTGTCTGTCATTCACATATTAATTTGTCTTGCCCTCCATGAGTCAGTCGTTCCACTATCTCCTACATTATCAAACCACAACACATTCTCATAATCATAACATTCGTGGACCGCCTCAGATACACGCACACACAAACACACACATGTGCACACTAGAGTAATATGCCCCCCATATCTGCGGGTGCTGAAGGCTGCTGTCATGGGCAGAGGGTCATTTTATGATGTGCGTTTTGGTGTGTGTGAGAAAGCAGTGTGGGGCGATGGCAGACGAGGCAAAACGTGAGCTCTCCCCAGTTTTCTGATTTGTCTAAACTCCGATTGGAGCCGAGGGCCAGTAACAGACCGAAGCCAGGGGGGATTTTTTAGGAGCATTAGGCCGCTTGTTGCAGCGTGTTCGAAAAGTCCGACAGATGTTGAGAAGCCGCTTGGTGCAGATAGATAATTTGAGACTGGGGGAACTATTCTGTTATTTTCAGGAGTAAAATCTTTCAATCCGTTCTGTTATTCATGTTTCTCAGCTGATAGTGTTCATGTCTTTCCTTCTTTATTTTTCTCTCTTTTTTTCGTATTCCATCACTCACTTTTAGTTCAAGACTACACACAACACGTGTGTGGTTAACCCTCTACTCACACACCCCTGAAATAAGCTTATGTCTGGATTACACTCAGTCATACACACACACACACACACACACACACACAAACGTCTGTTTACAGCCTCTTTCATTCATAATCACACCATGTGATCCAGATCTTCACAATAAGCTTGCTCCCAAACTTAACATAACTCTTTGCTGGAATGAATTTGCTTTTACATCTTTGTGCTTAAAAATATGCACTCGCATGCACGTACGTGTGTGTGTGTTTCTGTGTGGGAAAGTGGACTGGTGGTGAGGTGGGGCATGAAAGCGATAGTAAACAGAGGCTTTTATCAGTGATAAAACTCCACTCCTATTATGTGGCTGTTTGACTTGTTGCACGTTTACTGTGAGAAAAGCAGAGATAAGGTGTCAGAGAAATAAATGGGACTAGAGGCACAAAGAGAGCGTGGGGTGCAAGGTGGTAGTGCTGTTAAGTCGGAAAGAGAAGGGAAGACGGGCAGCGAGAGGGGTGTGGGAATGGAGGTGTTTAGGGACTCCCTGTGGACTGACTCCGACATGGGAACACACAGCCGTCCCTAACAAAGCGTGGCCGCCCCTCGCTGACTTCACAGGCCTGGGACACTGGGGGAGAAGGAGGGATGCTGAAGGGAAGAGGAGGCAGGTCTGCAACAGGTCCAGTTTTCTGATAAGACAAAGATCCTGAAATTAAGAGGATGAACGGGAGGACAGAGTTAGGAAAGCAGGGAAAGAGACCTTTAAGTACCTCGAGTCCATGTACCATGATATAAACATCTCAGTGGAACAACATATTTTTAAAAAACACTGTATGCATTGCATAATAAATTCATCATCTGATTAACTCATCATTTGTTGTCCTACTTGGACATATTTGGTTCAAAAGATGCTGCTACAGACATTTTCCCCTTTTTAAGGCAAAAAATAAACAAGGCAAAAAAAAAACCACTCGTTCTCTTTTTCCTGCTTTATTTTGTTCATTATTTAGGGTTAAACTGAAGACCCACACGTTTTCTCTGACTTTTGACTTTTGTCTAGTTATTTTTATTCATTTCTTTACAATTTATTTATTTTATTTTTTACATTTTATTCTTGTACTTCTCTTTGTGCTGCACAGCACTTTGATTTACAGTAAATGGGCTTCATGAATAAACTATACTTAGGGGTGTGTGATAAGGGGTTATAGTTGCATTAAATTGTAACCATCTGTTGCATCTTGTCTTTCCCTTATAAATAAAGTTCAGAATCACATTTACAAAGTATTATTTCATTTCCACCTGGCAGACTAGTTTATTAAAATAGTTTTCACCTTTGCAGTCATGAACAACACTCCATCGCTTCCCTGTCTGTTACTGCGGAACTGCCAAGAGCAAAATCACTTCCCAAATGTAACAAAAGAGTCAAATAAAAAAGACCTCCGTTCCTGGAAAACTGAAGTAAGCTGAATAAAGAATTTGAGCTATAATAACCTCAAACTTGTGGCAGACATTTTTTAGGTAATCTTGAATTTTGTGTTGGTTTTTCTTAAAATGTGAAAAACTCTCTCACGTGCTTACTGCAAACCCTCGCCTGTCATCATGCGCTGTCACTTAGTCTGTCATTATATTGTCATTATCCTGTTGCACTTGGTACATTACATCACTCCTCGGCAATTCCTAGTCGATGTGCTGGCAGCCGAGTGGCGCAGACACAAGTTAATCACTGAAACTGTATTTCCACTTCACTCTGCCTATCTCCAGGCCTGATGTGAAGTGGATAGATCGGCCCTCGCCCTCTGTCCCGGCCCCGGAAAAATAAAACAGCACAGTGAGTCTCAATAGTGAAGAGAGGAAAGAAGGGAGGGACAGCGCGAGCATGAATGAGAGGATGAATCAGTGAGATTGTTCAACTATTTCTCCGAAACACATTTTCCTGTTTGGTTGAATTACCACAGCCCATAGAATTTCCCCCACCCCCATCGAGATTAAAGTTTCCTCATCCTTCAACCTTCTTACCTCAAATCCTGAGAGGACGCAGGTGACTGTGTCCAAGGTGGAGCTGAGATGTGAAGTTGATTAATCGTTTTGTCAATAGACAGAAAATGAATCATCAAATATCAAGCAAACGTTCTCTGGCTGAAGCTTCTCAGTCTTTCAAAATGTCTGTGTCTTAGTTTTTGGACTGTGACCTGAGAAAATGTCTCTTAGAAACTATGACTTCTGTTCTTCTTTTTTAACTGTTTATTTTTTATTTTGTAATTTATTCACTAAAACTACTTCACTACAATACAACATCAATGAAAAAGAAGATAGAAATTAAAGCATCCATTTAATAAATAAAAACATAAATGGGTCTCTAATCTCTGTTCACAACCGTTTTTATCGACCTGATCTTATTGTGGCAGCTGAGAACACAACCCATCTTTTATGACATATACTGTCCGTGTTTTCATTGGTCCCATTTTAGTCATGACTGAGGATTTTATTCTATTTTCTCTTGAATAAAACGATCAGCAGATTGATAGTTAATAAGATTAATTGTGGGTTGTACAATTAGTCTTGTTTGCTGTGTCGGAGTCCATTTGATTAAGTATCCACATTGGAACATGGATTTAAAGGTTTTTTCCCTGTGATTGTAAACGTTTCAGCCTTATTGGTTTAAGATGAAGTCACAGAAAAATGAAATTGTGTGTATGAGTGTTTAACATCATGCTCCAGCTGAATTAGTAGTTTTTTAAATTAATGTTATTATATTGTCCGTTAAAAGACGACCTATGAAAAACCTGTGTCACCACTGTTGCCCTAAAATTGAGACGACTGCTCCATCTCATGGCGTCTTTGTGAAACTTCAACCTATAAACTACGACATACTTCATTTATTTTGTATTAGAGAGTGTACATCAATGTACTACTATTGAACATAGTTTGAATGTCTCCTTCTCATTTCTCCTTTCTTGTCTTTTTGCTCTCAGGACGCTGATCCCTCTGTTTGATGAAGACACTGGTTTGCTCGTACTGGCCGGACTGGTAAGATTTAGATTTGTTCTCCTCTGTTACAAAATTCTCTCAGGTGATAGAATTAAGTTCAGACACAAGTGTTGTATATTTATGCGTGGAGGTTTTCATAATAATGGTTTCATTAAATGAACATTTTTCAGAAAGGATTTAAAAGAAACTAAAAAAAGAATCTGCACAGTCTTGACAGTTATTTAATTTAAAGGTTGGCTGTCATTGCTGCGGTATATTCCTCCACTGTGCGGAATAATAATCTTGGTGTGAGAGGAGATGAACTGGACATGTTCTCTGATTTATTATGAAAACAGTCAAACTTTATCTGTTGGTGTCTGATCTAGTGTCCCTCTGTTCTGCACAGGGAGACACGGTGATTGATTGCTTCGAAGTCTCTTCCTCTGAGCCGCTCCTCTCTCCAGGTAAGAGCAGGTCATCTGTTATCTGTCTGCTCAGATTTAGAGTTACTCATCCTCTCGTTCCCTGTAGTGAGCCACTGTCTCGTGGATAACTCAACACGAGGCGCTGCCATGGTTCCCAAACCGTCGTTGGATGTGATGTCCTGCGAAGTGATGCGTGTGCTGCAGCTGACGAACAGCTGCATTGTGCCAGTCAGCTATCAAGTCCCTCGCAAGGTGAGCGCTCAAACGTGAAAGTCACGAACAGTCCTGTAGATGTTTGCATGTTCGTTTTCATGCAGGCTCATTTGCATCCGTGTGTTTCTGCTCCCCAGCATTCAGGCCAGGAGTTTCATGATGATCTTTTCCCAGACACGGTGGGTGCGACTCCTGCCATGTCTGCAGAGGAGTGGTGGCAGGGAGGGAACAAGCAGGTAACGGTTCTCTCTGCTCCTAACAAGTTTATCCAGTCTTCAAACATTTTGGACGCCTCAAACAGTTCTGTTTGTCCTCAGGTGGAGAAAGTCAGCCTCCACCCAGACCGACAGCCCAAACCAAAGGCTTCAACGGCAAAACAGATGCCTGCAAAGAAGGAGGCGGCCAGTGTGGGGAGCAAAGAGGTGAAAATATTTTTGTAGAATGGTTTTGCAACAGGTCTAGATTTCACCATTAGGGTTCTGTTGCAGCAGTGAAAACGTGACATTACATACTGTTCTTCAGGATCCGGCTCATGGCTGCTCCACCTCCAGTAGTCCTCTGAGTACTCCAGGCAGCAGCGCAGACCCATCCCGCTCTCCCTCCTCCACCTCCGGCCTCTCCTCAGGCTTCCTCCCCAGCCCCAGTCCCAGCCAGAGTGCCAAGGCCATCCAGAGCATGCTGGGTATGGACACATCATCAAAAGATTGTGTTAATGTGGTAACAGCATGTGCAGTTTACAATTTAAAAGAAATCCAGGATTATTATCTGTTTCTGTTGACACGTCAACTTCACAGTCGATGTTGAGATTCTTCAGCAAAATATTTACCAAGTTTGAAGTTGTTCGGATGTGCGACTGTCAAGTGACTTGATGGATGGCAGAGATATTTATTAAGGGGATGTTTGTTAAGAGTCAAATCCATTAATGTCAAATGATAAAGTGGAAAATTATCTCTCGTCCAGGGCCGACCTCCAAGTTCCGCCACATCCAGGGTGCAGTGATGCACAGGGACACGCACATCACTAACATACGCGGTCTCAATCTGACCACGCCAGGCGAGTGTGACGGCTTTTGTGTAAACCGCCAACGTTTGGCAGTGCCCCTCGCCATCTCTGGGGGCCAGATCGCCATATTTGAGGTACAGCAGCAGATGGAAATTTAATGTAAAACTATTCATCAAAAATAATGTGATTGCTCTCCATTTTTGGAGACGGTTTTGGAAAATGTTCCATGAAAATGTGCTGCATGTGTGTGAGTGAGTGGTTGTGCTCCTCTCCTCAGCGCTCTCAGCCTGGCAGGCAACCAGACACAGCTCTGCCCACCATCCAGAACTCTGTGAATGTGGCCGACTTCTCTTGGGACCCCTTTGACACACACAGGCTTGTTGTAGGTGAGTAAAATGATCGCTCAGGCTGTCCCCTAATCAGAAACTCGGTGGTTTGATTCCTCGGCTCCTTCAGTCCACATGTTGAAGAGTTCTTAACCAAGACAATAACCCATTAATATCCCATTCGTGAGGGAATGGGATGTATGACTCTTTGAATATTTAGAAGCAAATACAAACCATTTGCCGTTTTCATTTATCTTGGTAAATTTTAGCCTGAATGTGATTGAACATCTGTCTCTGGCTGTGACAGCTGGTGATGATGCTAAGATCCGGGTGTGGCAGGTACCAGAGGGAGGACTGAAAGAGACCCTGACTGAGCCTGAGCTCATCTTGCAAGGTAGGACCAGGGCCCACCTCTCTTTCTACCACAGACTGTTAAACGACCAACCTGACATACAACAGTTAGTGCAGCAATAAATCTCCATGAGACTTTAATGGAAGGATGTACAGTACAACAGCTGGCACTAGAGTATATGCTTCATTGAAGTCAACTGACAGCTGATGTGACCCCTCACAGGCCACACAGAGAAGATTTACTCAATCAAGTGTCACCCTCTGGCCAGTGGAGTCCTGGTGTCGTCATCCTACGATCTCACGGTCAGACTGTGGAACCTGGAGAGCGGAGACGAGGTCAAAATCCTCACTGGACACCAGGAACAGGTGGGTGACCAAGACAATGCTAGATGCAAAAAACAGTGACTGCTGATACTTTGGTCAAAGTTATTTTCACCTTGCCATGATGAGATAAATGATGCTTTTGTGTTTGCAAAACAGTCTCTGAGTTTCTTTTTTTGCTTGCTTCTGCTCTCCATTGTGTTTCGTGCTCAGGTTTTTAGTATGGCGTGGAGCCCAGACGGGAAGCTCCTGGCCACAGTGTGTAAAGATGGGAAAGTTCGTATCTATGATCCGCGCAAGTCCACTTCACCTGTGCAGGTACGTGCAGCAGAAACATGGTGGCATATCACCACAGAAAATAGATACGATTTGTCTTTTGGTTTGTAATTAAAAACGTATGAAACAGACGCAGCTGTAGTCCAAAGCTCTGAGCAACAACAGCAACTGCACATAATAAAACCCAGTTAAATATTGATGAAGTGCCCTGCAGACTCCACTTATGCACCGGCTATAACTTCATTTATCACTTGTTAAGAGTCGTATTTCTTGGTGGAAAAACAACAGCAAAAGCAATAAACCTGTGTGAGTATTTAAAGTGATGAGAATAACACCAGCCCAAAGGCATTAGTCATCTGGAGTAACTGCATTAAAATGTTGCTTAACTTCTTAAATTCATGTCTTCTTTCTCTTTCATCAACTCTTCTCCCACAATCTCACTTTTTTAATGTTTTTGCAGGAAGGCCCTGGTCCCGACGGCCCCCGGGGAGCTCGTATACTGTGGGTGTGTGAGGGCAAGTACCTGCTGGTGTCAGGATTTGACAGGTACTTCATGTTAATATGAATTTTTCTTTGAGTGGCATAAAAGTATGTTTTTATAGAGCAGCAGCAGCAAGAGAGCTTACTGTCAATCCCTCTTGTCTTTCACCTGCAGTCGCAGTGAGAGACAGCTCTGCCTGTACTCCGCTGACTCCCTGTCCTCCGGAACCATAGCCAGGATTCAAGTAGACATCTCCCCCTCCACACTCATCCCTTTCTATGACCCCGACAACAGCGTGGTCATCCTCACTGGAAAAGTAAATGAAAATAAAACAATCAAAGTGTCATTGCAGGAAAGAATTAGTTGTAATCTATGTTTCCTTTGTTTTACAGGGTGATACTCGAGTGCACGTTTATGAGATAGTCACTGAAGAGCCGTACTTTATGGAATGCAGCAGTTTTATGTCTCCTGAGCCGTTGAAGGTACCGAGCTGACTTCCATCTCACTTTTATTCATTTTTTCATTTTTACATCCACCAAGAAGTTTATGTTCTCAACCCTGCCTGTATTTTTGTTGGTTTGGTTGTTTGATTATGCAAAAACTACTGGACAGATCACTGCAGAAGGAAAAGAACCCATTAGAACCGGATCAGGGGGCTGATCCAGGAATTATTTTAACAACATATATATATATATATATATATATATGCATTTTCTTTTATTTCTATTAAAGTTTGGTGCAGAGCCAAATAAAATCCAGATCTAGAGAATTTTAAATTACATCTGCATACATGGACAGCTAAAGTTATATAGTTAATCCTCCATAAAACATTTGTGATGATGTGTGTGGTCTCTGAAACTTTTCTGTTTCCTGTCTGCAGGGCTTGGCCTTTCTCCCAAAGACAGAGTGCAGTGTGCGTGAGGTGGAGATAGCTGTAGGTCTGATGCTGACCAAGACAGCTGTAGAGCCTGTCGCCTTCAGAGTGCCACGGGTCAAGGTGAGCCAACTGCGCTGCCTAGAGGACACATGGGGATACTGCGATGGGAATATAGTTCTCTCGTCCTTTAACATAACTGCCTCCTCTGTGTGTCCACTGTGGCTCTTCAGAAAGAGTTTTTCCAGGATGATGTGTTCCCTGACACGGCAGAATGGTGGAAACCAGCCCTGACCGCCTCCGCCTGGCTGTCCGGCTCCAACGGCCAACACAAGAAGATCAGCCTGAAGCCCAAAGACATGACACCAGGTGAGGACACAGAGCAGAGAGTCTGTCTAGATGAAGATATTCACCTCTTCAGTTCTTTTCATTTGATACTTTCTTTTTCTCAGTGAGCGAAGCCCCCAAAGAGGCTCCGGTTAGGAAATACATGCCCTCGTCTTTTTACCTGGAGGAGAAGACAGATGAACAGAAGAAAGACGAGGTGAAGATAAATGCAGTGTTGTTGTGTTTCTACTGTATGTTCTGTGCTACCTGTAAATCTACCATGTCAGTCATCTGTTTCATATTAACCAACTCCCGTGTAACCCAGCTGCTCAGTGCCATGGTGGCCAAGTTGGGGAACATGGACGAACCGTTGCCACAGGAGTCGTTCGAGGGAGTCGACGAAGACGAGTGGGTAAGTGAACGAGATGGAAAAGACTGGTTATTAATCTTGTATTTTCAGTATTTCTGTTTTCCATTTTAAGTTATCGATGTTAAACTAATGAGTGTGCAGTAACTCTAACTTTTGATTTGAAGTGAAGTGATGTCAGCCTTTATTCAGGAGCCCACAAACCTTTATGATAAATATGGACTGTGAAATGATGCTGTAGGTATTGTTGTGGCTGGGGGATGTGGCTGAAAATAATATTGTGACATTAATGGGATTATTTTCAAGACATCAAGATGTAAAATCACAAAAAACAGGATCAAGATAATGACATGTTGTACAATGCATTTATTTAACTAATTAATTCAAAAATATAAAGTTTTGCTTGGAGAACATGTCAGAATATTTAGTCCATGGAGATCAGTGGGATATTGATGTTAATGTGAAATCAATGGAAATGATTCATCCTCCTGTGACCTCTCTGTCATTCAGGATGACTAAAGAGGGGCGTTGTCTCGCTTTGGCTCAATCATGGTGCCAACAAACAGCGTGGAGGGACCAGTCTTGTGCAACAGTGCCACCCAGAATGCCTCAGTCTACCGCACAAATAAAAAATACTGCACAATGTGAACAAATCTTCAGCCAAGTCGACCAATAACAAACCTCCTGATATGACCACTGTATGCATCACAATATCCGTTCAGGTTTAAAAAAAAAATCAAATGTCACGATGTGTAGCTGATGTTGATCATATCAAACTTAATGAAATGTGATATGACAATGACTAATTATTATTAGATATTTTAAAAAATCACTCTGGGATGAATTTGATTTATAATAGCTTTCCAATGTTTATGTAAACTGCAAAATTATGTCACTCCGTTGTGATATTTAGGAGAAAAAAAGAAATGTGTTGTACTGTTTCATTATGGATCAGTGAATAGAAATCATGTGTCAGAAAAGCTCAAACATATTTCTGGTCAGTGCAAGGTAACTTCCTAGCAATAATACTTCTGCTTTATGCTACACTAGTAAACTCTCAGTAAATGAAAACCATAGACTGTAAATAAAGATGGACGACGTGTTTCAACTTCTTTCATGATAAACAAATGAAACCAAAATATCGCACATATTAACACCCCCATCTTCTGCAGCATTTGCTTAATGGCTATAGGAGGTTGGGATCAGGACCTATACTTCATCCGGCCACCGGGTGGCGATCAAGACATTTTGGCTTCATGTCGTCCATTTTCATATACAGACTATGGACTACGATCAATGATATTAAAATAATTGATGAGTATTTTATTCTTGCTCCTGTTTATGTCTGTGTTAAGTAGCCATGTTTTAAGCATGATAACACATTCTGAGTCTGATTTAAATAACAATGGCGCCCTCTTGTGTCAGGACACCTCCGCATGTATCGTTGTGTACAACCTCGTAAACTTTGTGGACATTTGCCTCCACGGTGGACCACTCGCCTGCTTTTTCTAGTCACAATGTGTCTATAAACAAATGTATGTTGCTAATAAAATGAGTTAGGAAATAATATGTGAGCATCACAAAACACCTTGTCTTCCTGTTCAGTCAGGTAACACACACACACACACACACAGACACACTATTACTGTAACACATTCAAGCCTTCAACAGCAAAAACCACACAGGGAATACAACAGGGTCACCAGTGCTCATGTTTGACCATGAACTGGAATTTCTACATTCACATTCACTTCTCCTTGTTAGACAATGTTACTAAATATGTGATGCTGTATTTGTGCCAGTTAGATTTGAATGTTTAGTCTTATGTATAAGTAAGGGTTAAGGGTCAACAAAAAAATGTAATGTTGTTATGCATCGAAGCCAAACCACCTCCTTTTTTTTTTTTACAGATGATTCTTCTTTTTCTCTCTCCTTTGCTGGATGGTGGCGTTTTTAATCAATCTTTGGAATTCTGTTTTATTTTTCAGACTGTTCGGGGGGGAGATCCTCTCAAAATTCTTATCTTAGGCGTATGTAATCATGGTGTTAATTAGACAATGACAGTACAGTATTGGTAACATACAGCCATAACAGCTATCGTGTTATTTCTAATCAGGGCTACAGCAATGTCGTCAATAATCCAGGCGGAGTTTGACGCGTAACCCGACCAGTTCAGCCATGCATGATCGTGCACATCATGTTGTACACATGAACTGCAGGTGTTGTCAGTGCTTGTGCCGCGTAAACTGTGTGTGCTTGTGATATTTGGGTTGGATTGACTTGCCTTCTATTGTGTTTCAAAAGATCTTCCTTTTTATACAGTGAGTGAAGGTGTGTTGTTTTTTTTGTATCACTTGATTAAAGGTTGGTGGATTTTTTTTTCCAATATTGTCTTTCAATAAACACTTTTTGCAATCATTGCCACTTGTCTTCATGTGAGTGGGTCACTTTAACAGATACAGTCACTAAACCAATAATATTTGCTGATCCCATAACCTTAAAAGAACAGAAGTATTTGTTTCTCATAGTGAAATGTTTTAAACCTGGTACTCTGTAGTGATATGTAATTGAGTATATCTACTCAGGTACTTACATTTGAGGTACTTGTAATTTACTTCAGTATTTTTCTTTTTTCTTAAACCTTATTCTCTTATTTCACAGCAGTACTTTGACAGCTACATTTACTAGTTATAGATTACAGTTGGGCCTTGTGATGGGAATTTGTTTAAACTAAACAAATCGAGAAGTTCATCCACAAAATAATCAAGGGGTTAAATGGATAGTTTAGCCTAAACATCCTCTGATATCCTCCTCCCGACATGGACAGGACATTTAGTCTAAAAACATGGTGTTAATGACTTTGTTCCGAGTCGAATTTGAATGTTGGCGCTTGGACTTTATGTTTTCTCTTGTTTTTTTTACGTTTAAAGAATCTGTCACCAGTTACTTCAATTGTATTTGGCTGTTTATCCCTGAAACTCCAAAAGTGTTTTGTGGACTGAAACACTTCACCCACCCCTCCATCGGCATAGTGGTGAGTAGATAATGAGTGAATTTTCGTTTCTGGGTGAACTATCCCTTTAATCCATCATGAAAATAATTATAAGTTGAAGCACTAAACCTGAATCAGCCAAATATAACAATAAAGTACAGTTTCTGATATATGATAATAAAAGTGTGACTTTAAGTAGATATCCCTGATTATACTTTCATTTTTTTACTTAAGAAACATTTAACTTGTGATGTTTTTTAAATCGTTGTCTCAGTGAAGAACACTTGCTCCACCGCTGCAGTTTGACTTCCCTGCCGGTGGGTGGCAGTGTCACAAACATCCCCGACCACCAGAGTCTAACTTGAATCTCGTGTTATTGACGCTTCCTTGAACTTTGACCCTTGACTAACCTTCAGTGGTGTACATGTGAGGAACGTCGGACCCTCGCCGTCCCAGGACGCTACATCACTGGACAGTAATGGTGAGAAAACATGTCGTGGTTATCGCAGGTACCTCACAGTGGCAGCGGAGAGGTTGCAGGTTAGCATTAGCATGGGACGCGCCGGAGCTGCAGTGTGTCATGGTCGCGGGTTTAAATTGGGATCGTTGTTACTCCAGGAAGCTGCCTCCTCTTCACCCACTTCAAGTGTTCAAGTGCGAGTTCGATCTCGTCCGAACATGGCGGAGCAGAGTAATGAAGGTGTCATCGCACCAGGACCTCAAATCATATCCAGATAACAGATGTCCACATGGACATTTACATAAAACATCATCTTCTCTGTTCATGCTCCTGGGTGATGGTTGTTGTTGTAATCTCTTCCTCACGAGCAGAGAATAACACTTCTATTGTGTTGCTGTTGAAAATTACATTGTGATTATGATTGATGTAGTTGTATTGCCCAGTGTTAAAGGATCAGTGTGTAGAATATAGTGACATCTAGTGGTGAAGTTGCATGTTACAGTTGAATACCCCCTGTAGTTGGATCTGCTCCACATCGTCTCTTCACATGTTCGGTTTTGTGTGATCGTCAGCGATGAGAGCTGCTCTCGATGACTGGTTCTTTTCTTGTTTTTTTTTTTAGGCTAAATATCTGGCACAGATCATTGTGATGGGGGCACAGGTGGTGGGACGTGCGTTTGCTCGTGCTCTACAACAAGAATACGCAGGTATGAGCGTGTAATGATCATCATAATCATGTAAAACTAAGTAGGTGTAGAAACATATCGATGGATAGACAATCATTTTAATAAGTGTTAAATATTGGAAAGTTATTATATCAACCTGAAATGCTAAATAGTGGCAGGTTACAGCTTCTCGACTGCATTTCTTTAATAAATTAAAAAATGAATATGATGTGACTTAAGTCATTATTGCACTTAAACAGATTCAAAAAATCAAATAGATCTTCAAGTTATTAACTGCCTTCTAATGATGTGTGACTAAATTATTAATAGACACACAAATTCATTAAATATATATAGAAATGTTATAAAATATATGAGATAATATCTTTCAAAAATAATTGTATTAGTTTTGCCCAGCCCAGTTTACCCTGATCCTGGGTGTCTGACAGTCTTTCTGTGCGTTGTGTGTTTTCCCTCTCAGCGAGTCAAGCAGCAGCGCGGGCCAGGGGCCGCACCGGTCAGCAGTCAGCCGCTGCTACCAGCATCACCGGGATGAGTCTGCAAGAGGCGCAGCAAATCCTCAACATCTCCACTCTCACCCCTGAGGAGATTCAAAAGGTGCAGTCTGTCTCTTTTAGGGATTCAAGCACAGTGTTGGTTCTTGGCTGCAAACCCTGTTTTAGAATGTGTTCTCACCTTGTCAAAATGTCTTTCATGTTTACAAGATTTTGCGTGTGCTTTGCCCAGAATGCATTGCTTTGTCTACATACTCCCTAAATTGTGAAACTCGGTCTCAGCTGTAGAGGAAACCGATGCTGACAGGGACACACCACCACTTGTGTAATTGTACGACTGAAATCCGTCTGGTTACCAATTGGAAATATGAAACTTCTTTGGACTTTGAATGTTAAGGATTGTCATGACGGCTAAACTGTCTCTGTCAGACACTGCTGTGAATTCTAAAGACAGCTCTGTGAATTAGCATCAGCAGCACATCATTCCACAGCTTTTGTTTGGTTTATTTTGTGAATTAATTTGACCTTATTTACATTTTGATGAACAATACTTGGTTTGTACTGTGGTGATGGATAAAATCTGCTTCGTAAACACTAACACTAATGGGTTTTGTTCTTCCAGAACTATGAGCATCTTTTTAAAGTCAATGACAAGGCAGTGGGCGGTTCATTTTACATACAATCAAAAGTAAGTATAATTTTTCTATTATGATGCAACACAGTTCACTCTGTTGTTTAAGTAGTTTTCACTTAAGCGGCTTTCAGACACGCACTGAACTCCAGATAATCTCTTGACTTTCTCCGGAGGGGCTGTGTGTGAGAATGCAAATCCTAGTGAAAGCCTCTGGGTTTCTAACACATGACCGACTCAAAAATAAAACAAAATAATGATCTGAGGATGAAAAAGCGGCGACAGACACGTCGAAGACACAGACGAGCTTTTAGTGATTATGTTCAACACCAGTGTGGATATGCTGTAAACAAAAACACATAATCCTACAGTGGACTTTAAACGTTACCTCTGCCTGCTGCTGTGTTGTGAACGTGTCTGAGCGGAGAATCTCCTGCATGTGTGAATGTGCCTCTGGAGAAAGTCCGGACCTAATTCTCCACAGTTCATGTCTGAAAACGGCTTTGTGTTGTTCACCCAATGATTTTCAAATGCCAGACAGAATGAAGGATTGTAAATGCAGCATGTTATTTGGTTCTTTAGAAGAGACTGATATATGACTGTAATATTATAATGTTTATTAACCACTAAAGTAGAAAAAGGTCTGAAGTTCATCAAATCGTAAAAAAAAAAAAAAAGCAGCAGAGCATAAATCTTCAAACTCCAGCTCTCGTCTTCATCAGAGGTTCCCCAGTGGTTTTGCTGCCCGCACCATCTGTCCTCACTAGTTTATTTCTAATCCTTCAGCCCATGTGACCAAACCGTGATCTGAAGTTTAACGTTGGTGCAATCTCAGTGAGTTTTCTGAATTTGACCGACTGCTGAGATGAAACATCTTCTTTCTTGAAAATGTAGATTTAGTATTTTCACACAAGATCAGGTGGCCGTGTAAGACTGACCCAAGATAATTAAAACCTTTGCAGATTCATCCAGTCGACAAGCATAATTATCAGATTCCAAGCCTTATAATACATTTTTAATGACTATCTCCCTTATCCTCACTGTTTTCACCCTCAGGAAGTTTTTTTTTTTGAGGCATCTGGTCACTTGTTTTGCTCATGACATCCAAATAATGACCAGCTCTTTCTGCCTTTGTGTCTGTGTTAAATATCAAATTATGACTCATGTGACTCTGAGCGTGAAGGAGAAATCCACTCTTTGAAGTGAGTCGTGATAGAAATGAAATTGTGACTATTTTTATCTCCCACCAACTTCTCTGTGCTCTGGGAAAACCATGGTGTAATCTGGTTATTTTAAAAAGCGCCTTTGTGTGTGTGTTTTTGTCCAGGTGGTGCGGGCTAAAGAGCGTCTAGAAGAAGAGCTGAGTATTCAGTCACAAAAACAAAAGCCGCAGTCACAGCAGAATACGGAAACATGAAGTATGAAATGATGTACGCCCTGTCTTTCCTCCCCCTGTCCTCTGTAAATTATGACCCAATAAAAACCTCCTTTTCTCTAGTCTGGACTCAGTGGCAGCTTTTTGGCAGATAATGTCATTTAAAGACGGAGGAAGTTCAAACAGTAGTGGGTTTATTGTTCTTTTTATAGTTATGTTGAAGTGTTATGGTTTGAAATGATCCGAGCCACATTTTTTATTCATTTATGTCAATTTTCAGCTACTGTTGTTTAGTTGAAACACGCAACATTGACTGAAAATGCAGCCTATTGACTATTAATCTGAGTAATATAGTATAGAGGGACTGGAATATATTTACCCATATGCTTTAATCTGTACATTTCTTTATTTGTCGTTTATTTGGGACCAAAATGAAAACACAGGTTGTATCAAATGCAACTTTATTAAACATTTTCTCTTTTCATTGACATTATTATCAATATCGTAATAAAATTCCTCTAAAACAGGAGAACACCGCTATGTTGTACCAATTGGAGACTTTTACAACTCTAAAATTCTGCATGTTCAACCACAGAACATGATGCCAAGAAAAAATA